GACTCGGCTCACCTCTGTTGGAACTTGCCAGGATTACTCTCCTCACCGAAAGAAAAGTGGTCACGATCTTGCGTTATCCAATTTTCGATACAATCAGTGACAGTTGGTTGCCTATTCACCAAAGGCGCCGCAGAAGTGAGTTCCACGACGAGAGAGATGAGTGATAAAAGCATTCGAAGAAACGATCGCTAGAAGTGAGTACGGGTGTGATGATGATGCTCATTCTTCCAGTGTAGTGAATTAACCTTGCACTCTGTGTATCCACAGAGTGAAAGTATATAAAAAAGGGAAAGCCGAGATACCGAGTATGATTTACGATGATATGATTATCTCTTTGGTATTGCGATCATTCTACATAGAGTTGCATCCTTCTTAGTGATTCTATCTAGCTCTGGTTTACTTGCCAACTCGGGTTATGGATCAGGACCGTCACGGGAGGTCGGCAATCTACTACACCACTTCGCTCCGCCGACACAATTATGTAGCTAGACTTCATTTGATAGTATCTTGAACTTGAGCTTCTCATCAAAGACGTACCCTGCTCTTATCGTAGAGGAGCACACTGCGAGACAAGCATAGAAGGCGCACAACTGCGCTGTCTACTGGAGGTATCTCTTGTGATGTGAATCGCTGAAGCTAAGGAGGACGGGTGATAAGATTGTTATTCGCAGTGTGGAAAAATAACATGATACATCTAGTAATACGAAACAACAAATCGTCATCATCTGTCGTATTCAGCGAACTAGAGCTGACTGTGAGCGGCCACACTTCTTGTAGGCATCACTCGGTTGGTTCGGCCTTCGGTAGGCTTGACAGGAAGGCGTTTGTCCGTATGAAGCAATTTTGATATTTGGCAGATCATGAGGTGCTTCGAGAGTAACTAGTTGTAACCGTTAACACAATCCACTCGAGGAATGATTAACTGTCAACTTTCAATCGAATGTGTTTTGGTTGGGTTCGTTGGATCGATTAGCAATGAGCTACTATAATGGGACTCCTGAGCACAGCTTTTCATCCGTCAAGCGCCACGAAATTGGTCTTTGACGGGATGGCGAAAAATGTCGTACCCGCGAATTGAACTCGGGTGAGTAGCATGGCAAACACGAACTGCACCGAACTTAACTAATCGTCTGTATGAAACACTTGCTTGCTCAAATGGTGGCGGGTGAAAGTTGCTGCGAGGAGTAGTTATTTATATTCACAGTTGTTGACTCTCCACTGTGATCATGGCTGGTATCGGCCTGATGTATATGAACCCCGCCGTGTCTCGGCATTTGTTCAATCCTAGCAAACCTGTGACCAGAGGTACTACCAGTGGGAGGAGTAGGAGTAGGAATATATGTAATCGCTTTCCTCACCTGAGCTCAGAAGAGTTTCCTATACAGTGTTGGAGTAGGAACATATGTAATCGCTTTCCTCAACTGCTGAGCTCAGAAGAGTTTCCTATACAGTGTTGGAGTAGGAACATATGTAATCGCTTTCCTCAGCTGCTGAGCTCAGAAGAGTTTCCTATACAGTGTTGGAGTAGGAACATATGTAATCGCTTTCCTCAGCTGAGCTCAGAAGAGTTTCCTATACAGTGTTGGAGTAGGAACATATGTAATCGCTTTCCTCAGCTGCTGAGCTCAGAAGAGTTTCCTATACAGTGTTGGAGTAGGAATATATGTAATCGCTTTCCTCAGCTGCTGAGCTCAGAAGAGTTTCCTATACAGTGTTGGAGTAGGAATATATGTAATCGCTTTCCTCAACTGCTGAGCTCAGGGGTTCACATACGAATTCGTCTAGAAGTGGCTAGAAACCAACAATGATTTCCTCCCAGAATTTTCATACTGTCACCAACACATGTAGTTGACCATGTGCATATTTTTCCTCACTTTTTCCCTACTATCGCTTCACTGTTAAAATCACAGAAACGATACACAACTCCAATTCGAGTGAAATTTTCGAGTAGTAAACTGATCGAGAATCTCAGAATAAACTCCACCACTAAAAAAAATCCAAAATATATTTTTTCACATACCACAATTTCGTATTCGAGTAATTTTCCGACTGAATTTCCGTCTTTTTTAGGCAAAAAACCCGACCAAGCTTTACGGATAGAACTCACTCTTCGTAACGAAGCGACAGGGTTCGCCGCTACGTATAAGGTTAGCGACGCTAAGGATCTTCGGGCAGTTTTCAGAATTTTCTGTAAGGCTCAAGCTCCCGAAAGTAGGAAAGCGGGGAGGGGGGTGGGAGGGAATTTCACTAGAGTGTAGTGACTCCGTATGAAAGTGGTATAAAGGATATAATGTAGAGTAATAGTGTCGATTTACTTGCCGAATTTTCCACGAGTAAATTCTCACTCTCAAGGGTGGAAAAAAGTATAGGTGAATATTTTCCATTTGGAATTTTGAAAATGTCTCCTCAACTTTATTACTGTATTTAACGATGCGCACTGTGTGAGCTTAAAGAAAAATTTTACATTTTTTGCCTTTTTTTTCTTCACTTGCTTTTTTCATCTTGCTGGTATATTTCTCACGCGATTACTTCATCACTGCATCCACAGTGTGTGATAATCACAGTAATAATTGATACAGACATATGATATCGTCTAGGGCCAATGGTGATTATTGTTCACTACATTTTTGCGTTTTTTTCT